GGCAGGGGACAGCACCCCTCCGCCCGATACTCACCACGCGCGGGGCCCGCGCGACACAGCCAGAGCACCAGCAGCGCCCACAGCCGAGCGGGGCGCCGGCAGCGCCCACAGCCGAGCGGGGCGCAGGGCGGGCATCTCCTCGGTCGCCTCCTCCTCCGCCGCCTCCGCCTGGGCAGATCCACATGGGGAGGGGGTCCCAACCGAGGAGCCCCACTTTCTCCTCCCCACCCCCCCGCTTCTACGGCTCACGGGCGGGCACTACGCCCCGAAGCTCAGACTCAAACGAGTCGACTCCCTGCACCCCGAGTTGGCCACTCGTCAGCCGCCGCCTCAGCCGCCGCCCGAAGTTTGGCTGAAACTTTCTCGGGTGTGCAGCGAAGCAGCCTCGTGTGTCCTTCCGCCTCAGCCGCCTCCTCCCACTGCAAGGCCCCGCCCCCCTGTCGCCGCGGCCTCGGCCCCGCCGCCTTGGGCACCCAGGGGTTTCCCGCAGGAAGAAGCGCCGGCGAGCTCCGCGCGGAGGGATCTACTACTCTCGTTAGACACCCCTTTTCCCCAATCCGTCCCCAACCGCGTCGGGGGCGGACGCGCCTCAACTCGGTGAGCACTGGAGCGCCTCGCTAGGCCGAGCCTCGACTGAAGGGGGTGGGTGTAAAGACTCTGAACTTGGAACACTTAGGGTATGCCAGGACCGTGAACTTGCAGGAGGAGGCAGACCTCATTCCAGCAGGATCGGTACCGTCCCTACACACCCACACAGCCACACACTCCCCTGCTAGAAGAGGAATGCGGTAGAGAAGGACCAGCGCTGTCAGAGAAGGAAATGGGGGCTAGGGCGCCAAAGTCCACTTACAAGGAACAGAGCCTTCACCAGGGTCGTGCTGCTCCATTCATTCATTCACTAGGCAGGCAAATATTTCAGCGCCTTACTTGGCGCAGCGGTGTGCTTGGCATGGTAGAATGATAGTACCAAAGATGCACAAGCTATGAGGACCCAGAAAGCTGCTGTTGGTTGGGAGTATCAGGGAGGGCTTTCGGGAAGGAGCTGGGACGAGAGCAGGAGCTTGAAAGGTCAGTAAAACGTGTATAAGGCAAGGAAAGCAGCTCTAACAGTCATGGTAACATTGTCAGTAATTGAGCCGAAGTCGGAAACAATCGTTTAAGTCCAGAAATGGATGAATGATGTATGACATACTCATAAAATGAAATGCAATACAGCCATCGAAAAGACTAGATTCCTATGTGTCATTGGGTTAAGTCTGAAAAGCCAAATGATAACAAAAACATAACTGCAGAGGAAAATATAAAGTATACCATTTAAGTATATTGACATTTTTTCCCAAAACAATACTATATATTATGTGTGGATGCATATGTATAATATACAGTGAGAAAATAGAACCCAAATAGTCATTACTTCCAGGGCAGGAGAGTGGGGCATGTGTCAGGACTGGGTATGAGGAGACTTCTAGGAAAAGAGCTAAAATTAACAGCACCACCACAATACGTGTGGGTGTATCATTCAAAGGGTGAGCCCTCAGAAAAGCAAAGAAGGATACAAGGGAATAAGTAGAATCATTCTCACACTTTGCAATGAGGAGAGAACGGGGATCACACAACCAGATGATGCAGACCTTGAATGACAGGCTGAAAAGGTGAGGAGGAGGCTATCTATCAGGTCATAGAAAACCATTGAACGTTCTTGAACAGGAGTGAGAGTTGATGGAAAGAAGGTTGCTCTGATAATCCTGTGTAAAATTGACTGTCAGGAGCAAGAGGTGAACTGGAGCCTCGGAAACTGTCAGGAATTTGTGAAGCAGTCCAGGCATCGGGGGAGGAAGCCCTGAATTAATAAGGTACATGTGAAAAAGGAACAGATCTGAGACAACCTTGAAAACCAATCAGGAAGCAAAGCCTATGTGACTAATTGGATGTGGGAATTTATGATCCAGTTGAGGTGGGAAATCCAACCCAGAGAGCCTTCCCCAACATCTACACGATAAAGTCTAAAGTTCTAAAAAAAAAAAATGGTATAGACAAGGCCTGGTTCCCTCATTTGGCCTCCTCTCCTATCCTCCCTGCCCCCATTGTGAACTTTATACAATAACAGTATTGAACAACTTGAGATTCCCCAAACATATCTTGCTGTTTCAGTCTCTGTACCTTCTGTCCTCTTGGCTTGAACTGACTCTCGTGGCCCCCTTCCCCCCTCGGCTACTAGAGGAACTTCTAATCATCATTTATCCTTCAGTCCTAAGAAGGCTTTGCTGACACGGGGACAAATTTTTACCCTGACAAACAGTTCCTTCACTGTATGCTTCTTTATCTTACACTGATACCTGTTTTTCACATGGGATTGTTTGTATTTCTATCTTTTCAAGCAGATGAGGAGGCCTTTACAAGGACAAGGACCAGGCTTTATTCAGCCCCAGTGTCTCTCACATAATAGACGTTGAACTAAGATGTAAAACAACACTAAGCAAGTGCTAGGTATTATGAGCACAAGCCCCTGAAGTTCCCAAGCTGCATTTTAATAAGCACTTTAGAATTAGATGAGCAAGAACCATCACTGAAAGTAGTCACCTTGGAACGGTAGAAACTCTTTTCAAAAATAATGTAATTAGTTAAACTTGCTTTGAAATTTCTCTTGTGCAAATATATTCAGAGAAATATACTTTTAGTTGTTCATCCACAGTATTACCAGTTTGATCACCCTCTTATTTATTAAAGTTAGTCCATAGCAACTTAGACATACACAGACTTTTAAAATCACCTGCAAAGGTCAGTTTTGTCACTATTGAAATGCATTCAGAAGAATATAATGCAATTATCCCAAAAGAGCAGCTCCTGAAATGACTGTAGCTGTGATAACATTATTCAAATAGACATGCTCAAGGTGATTGTTTTAAAGAGAGCAACTCTTATATTCACATATAACTTTTTTTTTTAATGTTGGATTTCTTCCTTTTTTTTCCCCCTGTAATTTCCAGAGAGTGCTTGTACTTGTTAGGGAAAAGGGGAGGGAGAATGAACCCCCCAAGTGGGGTGTAGTTACACTGCCATCCCTTCTTCTTCATTTCTCTATCCCATCAGGATTTTGGGCACACATACACACACACACATACACACACACACACACACACACACACACACACACACCAGATATGTTTTTCAAGTCACCAGGGCTAGGATTCAAACCGTAGTTGGCCATGTGGCATCTGTATTGTTAACCACTAGGTTACAGAGCTGGCCCTTGTTGAATTATTTATAATGTTAAATTTTTTGTGTATATTCTGGTGAGGACTGACAAAGTGATTTTTGAAGTATTTTGAAGTAAAGATAAAAGTTGGAAAAAAAAAAAAAGGAGCTGAAAATCAAGGGAGGAAATTGGAACCAGCAGACTGCAAGATCAGAACAAGCAAGTCTAACTCAGCTACTACCATTTTAGTGACTATTTACCATGGCCAGATCCTGTGTAAGTAGTTGAGGGATAAAGGAAGAGAGACAAAATTAACTGACAATTAAGATCCTGTATAACTGACACAGTGTTGTGGGTTCATAGCTGAGAGACTGTGGGTCCTGTCACAGCCCAGGGATGGTCAGAGAAGGCTTGCCAGAAGAACCTAATAACTGCACTAGAAATTGAAGGATCAAAATATTAATTTAGGGAGGTAGACAGTGGCACAACAGTAAAACACGACCATGTGCAAGGCTGCCCCACATGGGAAGGTTCCAGTCCTAGTTCCCATTTAGAAACCTCCATGAATACAGGAGGCACATATGTGCTGAAGATCCACAGCTGACTGAAGCTAGAGGTGGATTGCAGCTTCAAGACCCTATTGGAGATGCACTCTCTCTCTCTCCCTGTTCGTCTCTCTCACTCATGGAAGAAATAATTATAGTAAAAGAATCAATTTAAGGGACCAGCAGTTAGCGTAATGGCTATGTCGCTGAACTCCAGTCGTCCATGGTTCGAATCCCAGACCCGGTGGCTTAAACTCACACTGGGCACATGTGTGTGTGTGCCCAAGATCCCGAGAGGAGAATGGAGGAGAAGGGATTGCAGCGTGGCCATCCCTCCTGGGGGGTGATTTCTTGCTTTCTATCTCTCTGTCTTTCTGACAAGCACACACGCCCTATAGCAAAAGCCTGTCAAAAAAAAAAAAAAAGAATAAATTGCATAAAGCAAAAAAGAGATTTCCCATATTTAGAGACTTAAGGCTGTTCCAGGCACAGGAAATAACATGTGTAGACAGGAATATGATAGAGACCAGAGCTGGCTCCCTGACCCAGGAGGGCAACAGGCAAGGACAGTGGGGATGGAGAGAATATGGTCATTGACTCCTAAGGTCAGAAACTGCATAGATCAGAAAGAAATGGTAGATCAAGGAATAGCAACACCCTCAGTATATCTTGAAGAATAACGAGGCTATTTCCAAATACAGAAAATATAAGACAAGAAAAAGGAAGTTTGTTAGAGAAGATACATAGGCAAGAGATGGATATAGCTGGAAAAGGAAACTTGAAGAGTAAGAATCCGCGGATATTGACTGGCATAGGGAGACCTAAGCATAGCCTAACTGATTAGCAGGGTAGACCTGCACTCCTGGAATTGGCCACTGAACAATGTTAAAACCTAAATGCCACTATGTACATGCAGGTGACTATTTCCCTGATTCCTCTCAGATGCCACGAAGACTTGTGGTGGCATCTTAAAACTTGAGTAGCGGCTAGAATGTCAGAATCTGCCTGAAGATGTCAGCCCCAAATGTGCTCGGCAGTTCAATTATTCAGTTGGAGTAGGGATTGGTCTTTCCCAAGGACTTTGCTTCTAGTCAAAGCCAATCCTACTTCACGGGAGAAATTGACAGGAAAATAATCAGGGGTCCTGTAATGAATCATAGCTGCTGCTATTCCTTCAAGATCTGTAGTTTCACAGATGCAAAGAAAAATATGATCCCATAAATTTTCATATGGAAAAATCACTGTTTTCAAGGCCCAGTGAAAATTCACAGGCCACTGGGACCAGTCAATGGCATAGAGGTTACATCACTGGACTCCCACATGGCCAACTGGGGTTTGCATCCTGGATCCACTGGCT